TGCAATATAATAGCACAAAGAAAAATTTTAAAAATAAAAATTCTCAACCAAGAGATTCTCATGGTTAAAGTTTTTTTCTTGATAGACATAATCAATGATTAATAACAATGAAATCATTAGCATTGGAAGGCAGTAACTTCATAGCTTGAAATTGACGTTGCAAGGCAGTAGCTTCGCATCTTGACACAATTCTCTAATTAATGTTGACACAAAATAAAATTCAAACAATTTCTGAGTCAAATCATCGTCATATTTGTCAAAGCAAAGCTCATGCTAGTGTGGCAAATATGTAAGGATATATTACCTACAGGTCAACACCCATAATCTTAAAATACCCACTCCTTCAAATTTAAGACCTTACTATAACATATTAGACATCACAATTGAAAAAACAGTAAGAAATTTCATTATTTCATCGGAATGTGCACAAAAGAGAATTCACTCTTAGTCAAATGCATGTACAACTGCCATCTTCTCACTAAAATTAGTCTACTTCCAAAATAAAATGGCCCAATTTCAAGGATTTTCCCCATATCTGCTTCATTTTTAATTTGAATATAAAGAAGCCATTGTCAAGAGAATTTTTATCCTCAGTGACACTGTTTTGTTTCAATTTTCAAACTATTGTCAACATATAAAGAACTATTTATTGTGAATTAACAAGCTCCCCAGGTGCAACAGAATAAAGAATATAACAATTGTAAACCAACTCTACTAGAATACTTATGCTCTATGTTCATGCACACGATTGCTATACTCCTTTACATATCTGCCCAACCTCCCAATCAGGACATACTCAAGTTTCAAAGAACTAGTTCTTTGCTGGAACAGCCTCCAAACTTATGCTCCATTCACCTAGAAAAATATCTCAAATTAGACTTGGGGATTACCTCGTAGGTTTATTCAATGAACTTCTCAAACACCTAAAATTATTCTCTAGACTTCAAATCCAGTTACTTATTGGCAAAGCTCTTCCATAGAAGTGTCACATTGAAACAAACATAGGCTTTTGCAAAATTAAGCAAGCTAAACATTAGTACCCATCTCTCTCCCAAAATATTGACACTTTATTGTCAATTTCAGCAACGACAAGAATATCTCCAACCTAAACAAACTCAAGGAATATAAATATTCCCAGCTCCATTCTTCCCATCGATTTATGGCCCTATCACCCTAGTGGTGCCATACAGCTTTTATTTTACATTTTTAAATACTCTCAATCATGGTGCCAGATAAACTTAAAACCCCTTGAGTTAATAATTTAAAATCCAGAGTTTCCTATAAAACAGTTCAACAAATCCATGAGACAGTTCAACTAACCTTATGATGATGGATTGATTCACTTCATCTGTACGATCCATGATAAAAGTAGAGTGAGAAAAACAAATTCTTTAGTAGCAAAGTATAAATAGAAGATCCCTCCATGTGCTCCGTTAACTCATTCATTTGAGTCTGCAAGTTTGAATTCAATAATTAGCCTCCAATATAAATATAAATCATATTAAAAGTCCATAGATAAAGTAGTATCACATACCATAACATCATTAACTGAATCACTATTTGACGTCCCATCTTTCATGTATGCGGCCATCCACACCCGTGACCGACTAGACAGAACCCCATTGTTCTTTTTTGTCTCCTGTAAATGAAAGACAACCAAAATCTTAAGATAAATAAGAAAATTAAACAATTAAGCAATTAAATATGTGAACAAGTTAAGAGCTTTTAAATCATGGCAGTGAACGGTCAACTCTGAAATGCAGTGAAGATGGGAAATGCAGTGAGCTAGCAGGGTGTTGGTAATTGTGAAGATGGAAAATGCAGTGAACGGTCAACTCTGAAATACAATCAATTGAGTTCCCAAGTTAAGAAAACAAATAGAGGGATGAATTTCCCTGTAAATAAGGAGCTTTGTGCTGCTAAGAACAATAACAATTTCCAAAAATCACATATTGTTTCCTCCAAAACTCTGAAGAGAGGATTGCCCGATTGTTATTCTCAAGTTGATGCACCTGCAAGAACTTCCCAGAAGTTTAAAGTAATTGCGAAAGAGGGTAGGTGTCATCGTTTGCTTCCTGCAAATCCATCCCCTTTACCTGAAAAGATAGATGCTGTTTTGTCCTATCGAGAAATGCAGGGTGAAAAAAACTTTTATACTTCTTTTAACAGCAGAACAACTCACTTTATTGAAGTCGATCTGGAGAGGGAGAAACCAAGCGGAGCTGTTGGATGTTCGCATGCAATTAGCTTAGAACCTAATGATGCAAACAATATTACATGCTCTGTGGCTAGATGTAGCATTACTAGCAATGATTCCTTTAAGTTGTATTGTAATTTTTCTAGAGGTCCTGTTGAAGATACTGAAGGAAATTGTAGTGATGCTGAGTCTGTTTATCATAGGGGCTTTAAGGAAGGGAATTGTTTCCTTTCCAGTCAGGTGGAATTGGCAGAAGAAATTCATAGGTTAGAGTTACATGCCTACTGTTGCGCTATTGAGGCATTGCATGCATTGGGACCCTTAAGTTGGGAACAAGAAACATTGGTGACAAATCTTCGCCTTTCGCTCCATATATCAAATGATGAACATTTGATGGAGCTAAGGAACCTAGTTTCGACTGCTACCAGCATGCCTCTTAGTTGACAGGGAAAAAAGAAATCCCTTCCCCCTCACTTTATTCTCTCCCTCACAAATTTATTTGAAAAAACAAGTTGTGAAACAAGTTGCTATTTATTTGAAAATAGCATAGGTGCATATACAGTAATAAAAAACAAGTTGTGAAAGAACTTAGCAGAGCTTTTAAATCATGGCATTGCTATGGAATAGTTTTGATTAATTTTTGCCCTTAAAACTAAAAAGAAGCCATTCCACTAAACTAGAAACCCGGGTTGGCAAAATGTAAATTTATTTATGGGTCATAATTACTCGATCTACAAACATTATCAGAAGAATTCTAACAAGAACATACTTCTTCACAGAATAAAATTCCAACATACATGTATTTCAAGGTAAGGGAGATAGACTTTCATTATGCATGCTGAAAATTAATACATAGATTGTATCAAACCTTACAGGAATGAAGTTAAATAATTAAAAATTCTTTATGGAAATATTTGACTAATAATTAGTAGAAAGAAAAGATCTTAGAATCCACAAGAATACCACGCATCAATTAATATTCATTTTATTTCCCATCATTTTCTAATATCACTTTTTGAGGATGTAAAACACACATGCCTAGACATACTGGTTGTCTTAAACCTCCTAGACCCTTCCACATCTTCTCAATTGAATTTAGACATTCCAGATTCATAGTGAATTGACTTATAAGGAGAATAATTCAACTATGCATCAAACCAAGTATTTCATTAGCTTACCAGTTTGTAAGTCCAAAATTACCTAATAAATGCTGTGTGGTGACACTAGATTCCTGAAATCTACACCACGTCACTAACATGTCATCATCAATGTGAAGTAAGCATCTACAAGAATCGTCTCAAGTATTTCATATTTACCTAAACTAATCATGACAGGTAATAAAACACTGAGTTTATGAGTGTCATGTTCAACATAATCTATACTACTTATTTACCCTTAATAAGAGGAATTTTGCACATAATATCACAAAGAAAATACAAAGAATTTCAATGACAGTACGAAATTAAATGTTTACTTCACAAAATTAAAACAAACTCAAATGAAGCCAAGATCATCAAAGACATACCTAACTGGACTGAGATGGTGAGCACTTGTTCAAAACTTGGATTCCACTCTTCCACATGTAGTTTCTCTGCCAAATTTAGGGACTCATAGAATTTGAAGAAAGACATGTAATTTGGAGGCTTTGCATGTGCTACAACCAATGTAACGATTCTTAGATGATCTAACTTGCTTCGTTATCACATCATTTAACCAAATTGTCAAAAAACAATTGACCAGTAAATACCAAAACAGCAAATAAACCTGCTGCTCTAATCAAAACCGAGCAAAAAAAATTCTTCATGAAATAAATAAAAAGTCAAAAGCTTATACGTACCAGCTATTAATACTTCTATACTCCAAAAACAAACAAACCATAACAACCTAACCTACCAAATGTAACTTTAAATGCATTACCCAGACAATAACATAACTGCCAAAGCATGCTTTTCTTCAAAAACAAATAGACTTCAAGCCAAAACACTTTTATATGAAAAAAACTTACCTACTTCAGATTGCACACATATTCACATAACATAAACTTATGAAATTGTCTTCATAATTTAGAGGAATTTATGGACATGCTACGGATTAGAAGACTAATGGAACAAAAATGCGAAAACATATCATCCATTTTAAAGAAAGCCCACACACTCCCTTAACATGAATCATAGCTAAGCTAATCACTATGTCAATAAGTAGGTAGGATACGTGCATTGCTTCAAAGACATGTTTGCTGGAGTCAAAATCATTACTAAACAGAGGCACCAAGGGGTTTAACTCCTGGGAATTCAAAGTTTAATTCAACTTCTACGTGTATATGTGAGTGTGATTATTATAATTAAGTACATTTTTACTGTGTTTTTGACAAGTACAATCCTTGTTCGCATGGGAATTCTAAGTATAGTTTCGTATCTGTTTCTCACAGGACAACACTCGGCATCAAAATTTAGACTTATTATCCGCCAAATAGTCCAAAATTTAAGAAAAATTGAGAAAGTCACAATCTAACCATCAATAGAAGAAAGTGCATCCAAAAAACACCCAGAAAAACATTATGATTTATTAAAACTGCATAATCAATCATTCAATGAACAAAAAATAAAAAATTTAGAAGACAAAAACTTCACTCTACAAAGTTCATAGAACATCTAGAAGACAATATATTGGAATACCTCCACATACAAACCTAAAGACAAAGGACTTAACTAACACCTAAACAACCATCTTCTCCTAGAACTTGAAGTTTGACCACAAGTTCAACTTGAAGTTTACCTTTTCAACTTATTTCATATTAAATATCCGTATTTACCTTTATCTCCCTCAATATGTTATCTTTATTTTGTTGTGGGACATAATGCCAAGTCGTAAAAGTGAGTGGTACAGGACTCCCATCTCATGGAAAAAAGGCCAAATGTGAAGCAAGGGGTGTGTATCCTTCAACTACTTGATTCAACTCATTTGAAACAAGTTTTAAAACACCATCCTCCTTTTTCTATCTTTCTTTCTTTCTTTTTTTTTTTTTTGAAATTGTGCTAATTTTATATGATTGAACTAAAAAAATACCTGTAATAAAACTGAATAGCACTAATATGAAATAATAACTCTCATTCAAATAGCAAATGCAAAATTAATTCACTTTCCCATTCAATTTAATATCCAATCACCATTACCCACAAAATAACATATCCGCAAATGATATTTTAACATTACCCACAAAATACGTCAGACATGTTTCCCTCATCATAACTATGGGATGTAAATTGCCTTATCTAATCAATACATGAACAATTATCCCAAGACGGACCTGCTCAATACACACAAAGTGTACTAGCACAATGAGTTGAAACTTCACTAATTCCAATGCTACAATCATATTGATGGTGTGTCCAAATCCATCTTAGATTGTGAACCACCTATATGCTACAAGAACTAGTCATTTGATCTTTCGTGTGTAAGCCATACTCTACAAACTAGATCACATACTTCATAGAATAAAAGACACACGGAGAACATTAGACAAATAATATAATGCAAATATTACTCATAATGATTCTCATTAAAATTGGAATAGTTGATATTATTAAAACCAAATACTAAATTCCATTACACAAAACATGGCTTTTAGTATTTTTTTTTTTTCCCTAAAAATCTCCCACTTAGAGTCAAAGCCATGCTGCCATGAATCTCACTCCAATTCCCTCTACATGACTATCAAAAGTCTTGGCCAGTAAGCCCTTCGTAAAAGGATCTGCCAAGTTGTTTTCTGATGCAATCTTGATCCCACTGCATCTCACTGCTGGAAAACAGGCTTTTAGTGGCGTTTAAAAAATGCCTCTATATCTATCAAAAACGCCGCTAATTCCTTTTGTGGCGTTTAGTACCAAACGTCGAAGCTGCGGCCGTTGCTGTAGCTTTGCGACGTTTTAAAAACGTCGTGATATTAGTATAGGAGGCGTTTTAAAAAACACCGCCAAATGTCCCACTATACACCCACTGACGTCACCAACGATATTTAGCGACTTTTTTGAAACGCCGTCGTATCTGTTTTAAAAATATGA